TTTAGTAATGATTTTAATTTAGGGCCAGGTTTTTGTGAGAATTTGATGTTGACAGGAATATTGTGTTTAATGGCTAGTTTAGTCAAAGTGTGGATAATTCTTGAGGTGGTTTCAGGAACAAAAGGTAAACTGCAGTGTAATGTACTGTTGTTGGGTTTGTTAGTGTCAATTTTGTTTGTGAGTTGAGTTTTATTGTGGGGAATGTTGGAGAGCTTTTCAACTATAGCTGGTGGGAATTTATTGGTGTGAATAAAGGAATGCTTTAAGTGGTTAATTTCTTCATTTATGTAGTCCGTTGAACAGAGTCTTATGGCTGTGTTTATGAGGTTTTTAAGTGTATTGATTTTTTGTGTGGTGTCATGAGCAGAATTCCAGGGGATGTAGAGACCAGTGTGTGTGTTTTTGCGGTGAATTTTGGTTTTAAACTGTGTGTCTGATCTGTTGGGATCATTAATGTAGAGGTTGAGTGCAATATTGCAAGCTTCATTGGCGGGGACTTCGGTGAAGAGTGACACAACATCAAAACTAGCCATTAAGGCTCTTGAATTTAGTTGTTCTAGTGTATATTTGAAATTGAAGGCATCTTTAAAAAATGAACCTGCACCTGATGATGATAAAACCTTGTCGAAACGTTGTACATTTGCTGTTATGTTAAGCTTATATTAAAATTTTTCTTCATTACCCATTCAAGCCGTCTCCAGTGGGTTCCTCGTCACCGATTTCAAGGTTGAAAGAAAGTTTAAATATGATTGAATAGAGCAAGAATTAGACTTTTCTGTCCAGTAAAGTACATTTAGTGGTTTATGGTTACCTAGAAAAGTTTGTACTCTGGGTGAAGTGTTTGTGTGTTAAATTATATATGTTTATTAGCTACAGAAAATTTCTTAGATTAGAAGTCATCAGGTAAGGTTTAGTTAGGTTTAGTGAGTACCATAGGTGGCTGCAAAGTATTTTGATGACTTAAATACTTATTGATTAAATATTATTTTATGTTTATGGTATTCAAACAGTTTGCATAAATAAATTGGTAACTGGCTATTTAATGACTTCTGTTTTCATTATTTGATTATCAGTCCATTAGATTTACACAGATCAATGGGGATTACAGCATATTTCAAAAACAAATAAAATGGCAACCTTTGACCTTGTGGTTGTCTTCACATAAGTGATTAGCCAAATAGGTAATGTTCATATTTTCTTTGAAACATTGTGCGAAAATATTTTTGCCTTTTCTTTAATCCAACTTAAGTTATTTGAGAATAATTGTTTATTATACACACATATGTTTATATATAGCTATCTGATGTTACAGTGATCGATTAGTTGAAGGTAGTCAGTGAAGGAGCATGACCTTTAATCAATTAGAAAACTTCACTACTTGCACAGCTCAAATCATAAGCCATATGCTAGGGTGTTATTTAGTTAGCAACATATTTTACTTAAGTGTGAAGCTTCAAAAGCATGTACTGGTGTTCATCCTTTATTCATGATATGTACATATTGCTATCTCATGTTTTTGTTTCAGTATCACTGTAATTAAGCCATAATTTGAAGTAAAGTAACTTATTGAGTCTTTGTCATATTAAGTATTCTGTACATTATCTGAACCTAACAGTTCTTTGGCTATGAAGCAACAGCTTGAAACTAATTACAAAAGTTTATAAGATTTCCATACCCGAAAAGAACTTGTGTTTTTACCAGTAAAATTAAAATGTTTTAATTGTAATATGGAAAAATATTAGAAAAAGTATATTCCGTCGCAGACCAACTGGAAAGTATTTTGTCAAAACTAGTATTACTTGTATTTTCAATTGATCAACCAAAACATAGTTGTAGTGTTAAAAGATTAAGTTTGATACCAACCTTCCTTTTATACAGCTTACACTTACTGGATTAGTACAAATTAAAATTATTTAAGCATTGTAAAATGACTTCATCTTATGCCGTTGTGAAAATATTTTAAATAAATTTGAAGAAATTTTTTGTATAAAGTTTTTTCCTTTCCTGCACAGACGCACTCCTTGTCTCTACGTAGAAAAGTTATTGGCAGGAAGAAGAATTTTGATGAACTTCTTGCTGACCATCGTTCCATGAAAGAAGCAGCTCTTAAGGCATCCCAGGCATCTGCAATTTCAAGTGTATGTGATGTGCAAAACTTGAAGTCAAAACTCCAAAATGCTACAAATGAGAAGCCAACACAGAGTTTATCAACCGCAGCTATTAGCAGAAACATAGTTGTTCCTTCAAGCCCACATTCTAAAGATAGTTCAGGTATGGTAACAGTTTTAACTTTAATAGGCTCATCAGTAACATACTTGCTTTTGGGATCGTTTTGGTCAAAATAATATCTTTTTTTTTTTATTAAGTTTTTACTCACCCCAGGTTATTGTGTTCTTTTGAAATATAGATTATTGGGTAATATGCCAAAGCCACATTCAAGAAATGGGTAAAAATGTATAATCTTGATAATATAATGCAGATAAAGCTCATATGTATAATATTAACATGGATACATTGAAGCCAATTACTGTACTTATTTAGTACTCTGATGCAGTTTTGTTTATATTACGATTAAACATAGATTCATATTTATTGAGGGAATATTTAGGCATTAACAATATGGATTAATGTCTTTCTGTAGTAATATTTAAATTACATAATATCACAATAAGACTGGTAATAATTAAAATTACACTATGTCTTACTGGTCTAATAAAGGTTTCCAGTGTGAGAAATATACAACAGCTTTTCAACTATACTCTGTTTGTTGAATGTGATGTCATACATGAACTACTACTCAATGTCATGCTCCATCAACTAAGGTGTTTTACACCTTAAGACTTGTTGCCTCTTAAATGATATAAATAGTTTCATCTGAGATTTTGTATGTTATAACCAACCATCTTTTTTCATCATAAAATATTTTTAAAATCTGTTTAGACTGCATCAAAATATAAATATTGTTCTAAGACTCATTCATAATTCAAAGTGATATTTTTCCAAGCATAAAAGTCAGATAAACGTATGACTGTTATGATTCATTCTGTGATCATTTTCCTACATTTTAAAATGTGGACCTTTCTTCTTCAGGGCAACATTGTTAACAATGACATTCTGTATTGAGAAGCATAATTTTTAGTTAAGAGCAATGGCTTTGTCACGTATTATGGAATAAAATACAGTATTTAAATATAAATTGTGCAGAATAAGGATAAAAAATTGATTAGTTTTTCTTTTATGAAAAACATAATGTAATTTTTAGAATTTCAAGCTTACAGATATAAATGATATGTCATATTCATGAAATTTTGCTTGGACATCTGTAAGATTGCCTCAAATGGCCAGGGCTATTTCACAGTGTATTTGGAAATATAGTTTTTGAGTTAACCCTCTCTGTATGGGCTTGGTCAATTTGACCAACCTTATTACCACCATGTAACCATATATAACTCTTAATGTAGTAAGTGTATCTCCATGAAGTTCGACAAACATTTAGTAAACATTAAAAGTTTTGTGTGCACAAAAAATCAAATTTGTTAATAATTTTTACTAAAGATTTGCAGTATTTTTATAGAGTCAGAATGCCTCAGACTTTGAATAGTTTAAGTACAAGGTGATTTCACGTTAAGATTAAAAATACTTTTTTTCATTTTACAGTTCTCAAATTTAATTTGCATTACCTCTAAAACCTTGTTTTCCAGTAAAGCTTTAAATCTTACATGTTATTTTATATACTCTAACACTGTATACAGGCTTGGTCCATTTGGCCAACCTTGTAACCACCAGAAAAAGATATGAAGTAAATCTAAATTACCTCTTTTTTTCTCTCTCTATAAAATGACTTATTCTTAAAGCCAAAGCTAATACAATTCAAACCTCTCGGTTATTTAGATTTATTGCTTTACTGCAACTTAGATCAATACGAAAGCAAATTACTGCAACATGAAAGCTTTATGTAAACACAACAACAAGTTACTTAGTCAAATTACAATAAGCTGAACTTGTGAGAGATGTTTGTGCTATAGAGTTGTTTTTTTTGCTAAATTTTGATATCTAACCTAACAATCTTCTGATTTTTACATTTTAGTTACTTTTATAACAATGAATAAAAAAATAAGGAATTTAGTACTTACATATATTACTTTTTTGCTCTCAAAGTCTGGATGAAAGTTGACCCTTTATTTTTGTAGAGGTGTTTTTAGTACTTTGTATAATTTTCAGTTATTTTAAACATGTAACTTAGAATACAAAAATTAACATTCAACAAAAGTAGATATTGTCCTAAAACTATTATAATGTAACTGGCTTTCCAATTAAGCTATGTGTGCATTAAAATATTAATATTAAATCCTTACCTTGTCGAGGCGATATCAGTGGTAGCAAACTCTGAAGTTGATGCAGAATAACTCAAAACTGATCATGAGAATGAGCTAACCTCAAAAGGAAAGCAGTAAATTAAAATCTTCTCTTTCTCTTGATCATAAATAATTCAGTAGTAAATGAGAGAACTAAGAACTATTCATAGTTTTGAAGACCGCATGTGCTAAGAGATGTGTGGTATGCGAGTTTCCATGACATTTAACTAATTAAAGCAAGAAAAACAGATGTTATAAATTTGAATTGTAGCTTGGTGATATCTAATGTATAAGTGTTTGTAACTACTGAACTAAGAACTATTCATAGTTTTGAAGACAGCATGTGCTAGGAGATGTGTGGTATGCGAGTTTCCATGACATTTAACTAATTAAAGCAAGAAAAACAGATGTTATAAATTTGAATTGTAGCTTGGTGATATCTAATGTATAAGTGTTTGTAAGTCCTCAGAAACCTAGATAATAATATAGGGGTGGAAAGAAATTCTAAAATGGGCAATTTGGGGCACTGAAGTGTCATGTGATAAATAAAAATGATGCAAAGATTGAGAATTTATTTAAATATTTTCTTTTGAAGTTAAGAAATTAAAATTTGAATTATAAAGTACATTTTAATGCAAAGTTATTGACATACATTTATAACAAAGTAGTATGATCAAATTTGGAATGTAACAATGTAAAAAAGATCATGACATGCTTAATTTGAGCAACCCGTATCTAGAAGGTGAAAACTTTAATGTTTCAAATCTTTTATCAAGAGCTTAGTACAAAGTTGGGTCTAGTGTACATAGCCAATAATACAAATATTTTAGTATTTATGTTACAGAAATGATATATTTATATTAAGTCCTGTATAATTATATATTAAATTTAGGTAATTACTATATGGCCAATTTATATTTCTAAGGGTCCATAAAAGGTTCTAGTTTGAACTGTAGTGTCCAGAGGGCAGCACCTGTATCTCAATCAAAGTCTCCTAAAGCTCATTCCAATAAACCAGTATCTCATATCATTCCACAGAGCAGGTAAGATAACTGCTGTTTATTGATTTAATTATTCTAAATCCTATAACATAAACTATAATTTTATGTTTCTTCAGAAAGACTTAGTTTTGAGTGTCATAATTTCCATTCTTGTAATGTTCTGTAGCACTGCAGTTTGTGAATGTTATGTTAGTTATCTGTAAGGTCTTTTTTTTTTTTCATGTGTTCAGTTTTTAATTAGTTATATTACAAATTTTTTATAAGTTTTATCTTGTCTTTAGGGTGCAGCTTCTAATTTATCAACTATAGCACTGTAATTTTGAAGTATTCTGTGTATCATCTTTGCTTTGTAAAGTGTAGTTATGTCCTGTATTTCATTTGCATTATTCATTGTAGATTCCTTGTGACTTTTGTATTTTATTATTTTTCCATTAATAATGTGTTAGATAAATTTCAAGCAATCCTGATAGTTATTTTTAAAAAATGTATTTTGGTTTTAGGGTTCTTGCCAATATTACGCTAAAGAGTATTTTGTGTAATTTGTATGATATTTTATTTCAATGATTGTAATGTACTGAGTAATTTAGCTTGCCGTATTGTGATGTCAGCTCCTTAAATATTACAACTGTGACACACAGCATGCAACTTCCAGTCTTCTCCTGAAAGTATAAAAAGACAAATTGGACCAATGAGAGATTTATTTATTTTTTTAAGTTTAGTGTGTGATGTTTAAGTTGTTGACATTAGTTGCTTTAGTGTTTGGCAGTTGTGAAAATTACTGCTTATGGATACAAATTTGATTTTTCTGGAGTTATCATGTATTTGCTACAGTTAAATGCCTGCAGAATGGGCCAAGTGCATTCTCTAAGTTTTCATGTTGGATAATAAAGCTGTTGTCCCAGAAGATTGCAAATTAAGTCTTGAGAGGTGTCCATTCGTGTCTGTGCTATGGACTATAAAAAGGGTCACCATGAAGTGAAGACGTTCACATATAGCACTAGGCAGAAGGAATGTTTTGTAAGATAAATTCACGTTGTGTATGGACAGTTATTGTGTAAAGAAGGTGAGGGGAAGAAAGGGCCCCAGCATTTGTGCAAGTTAATATTGATTTTTATTTATGAACAGTTATTTAATTTGAATAGTTAAGTATATTTGTGTTTAATTATACAAGGTGGTAGTTTATTGATGTGTAACTGTCATAACACTAGTCATTGGGTAGACTGTAACTTTTAGAATTCAATTTCATTGTTATTAGGATTTAAATTTACATTTTTTATTACTCTCTTCTTTAATTGGTATAGCAGATATAGAACCAAAAAATAAATGCTTTACATGGAATCTAAACTCTTAACAACTGTAGATCGCCTTCATCATTGAATTTTGGCCCAGGAAGGCCGACTTCATCAACACCAATTAGTAACAAGCAGGAAGTGAAAACAACTACCCAAAGTAAACTGGAGGACACCAAAACATCCACATTAGATCTTCCTTTTATTAGGCATCACCCCCGTCCAGCTGCTGTAAGTGAATTTTAGCATTATAATATATATGAGTCTACTGTGGTTTTTGGAATAAAAAGTTCAAAAACATGAAATGGCCATAAGGTCCTTTTTATGAAAACCTAAACTGCAAAATAGGTGCTGATGTCAAATAACAGTAAAAGAAATAAATATATCCTTTGTTGTTACTGTTACTCATATAATAGTATGCAGTTGATGTACATCTTCCAAACTTTTTTTAACAGTTACCCAGTGCAAATATATAGTCAAAATGTATAAGAGAATATGCCAGTTTTTTATTTTTTCACCCGAGAGCTGGTTTAAAAAAAAATGTAAAACATATTCTCTTTGTAATTTTTTCCCCCATAAGCGCTCGTTCACATTACGAGTCAAGAGAGGTATAAAATACACCCACTGCAAGGCTATATCTAGATAGGTATTTGTTGAATAAATGCAGTGGACACAAAAAAAAATTTGAGAAACCAATTCTAGCAGATGTAGGAAATAGGTTATTATTGATTCATGTGAGTTATACTTGTTGATACCAATTTTGTACATTTCACTGTGTAAACTGTCCCATAAAATTGTTTTTACTCTATTCTTATGCAGTTTTCTCAATTACAAATACGTAAAAGACATTTACAATGGCATGTAAGTCATTGGCATTAAAAAAACTGCTTAAACCTCTTTGTTTTAAAACTGCTAAGAATCTGATTAAAGTGTTTAGGGGATAATACCAAGCTATATCTTCAGGAGAACTTATGTTTAAGATTTTTTTGTTAGATGTGTAGTTCCGTACTAGCCGATAAAAAATGAAAACTTGTGTGACAACTCGTGCAGATCCAACACATACACTGTATCTGTTGAGGGGTTGATTTCTACAGCATTCATCAGAGCTTATATGGACCAAGAAGTGAAACCTTTCATATTACCATGTTCAGCAGTCTTTGATTTCTTCAACACATTACCATATGTTGATTTTGATAATAGTAAACCTGGTAAAATTGGTCACTCAAATCACTAATATTACATCTAATAACAGATCTGTCAGATTTTTCTTCCTTGTACTTTCTTGACTTGTATCTTGGAATTAATTTGCAAAACATTATGGAACAAGTCTTCTACTAGTTGGGATAGCAATCCCAACACATTTGTTGATATAGTATATATCTTGTCAATGCACTGCTAACATAACTCTGTACTTTAAAAGTATTGTAGCTATTGTTTGTGTTTATCAATAGGTGGTGCTGTGATTAATATCAAATATAATTGAGGTTGTTTTTCTATTCTTTTTATATGACGAAAATAAAAATTATTACTGGATATGACCCCCACACTCTCCATAGGTTATATTACCCCACCCATTAAACTTTGTTCCATTTCATATATGGCAGCCTCCCCAGTACTTCAAGGTATCCTATACTGTAGTTGTTTTATCAGATGTGTTCTGTGTCTGTATGATGAAATTACCTGTTTTCAACTGTTCAAGTGTACACAAGTTTGGAGAAGTTACAGTACTTGTAAAAGGTTTTTTACCATGTTTATGTGCAATTTTTTACTTTTGTTACCATATAACAAACAAAAGCTGAGTCATTACTCATAATGAGAAGCAATAAATCCATGCTTACATTTCTATAAACAAATGTTGAAGTGTGAAGACCCTGTATCATTGTTAATTCTGAAATTTGTATGTATATCTTGGTAACATTGATCTGTACGAAAAATTAAAATTTTCAACTCATCTTAGGTTTGTACGTTTGGCTTGAGACAACTAGGGAGTGGAATGTTTTTACTAGATCGTCGGTGGGACCTTCCTAGGGCAGCATTGAGAGCTGCATTGTGTGCAGAACGTGGTGGACAACCTCCTCCTCTAAAGTGAGTGCATCTTGAGACACTTATTTTGTGAAGTGCTACCAGTTTTGACCTAGATTAATGATACTAAATGTTATCCAAGGGAACTTTGTATGTCTTTAGGTTTACACTACATCTTGGTGTAAATTTTGTTTAAATTCACAAAATTGTGCTTCTTTATAAGTAAAGAAAATATGAGGTGACATAGCTTTGGAGGTTGATTTAACACAGTTTAGCTTTTGGATTTTTTTTCAACTTGCACTGATACAGATTGAGACATGAAATGGGTAACAAAGTGTATGTTGGCTGGGAGGGGGGGGGGGTCATGAGAGTTTTTGATTAGCTGAATTTTAGTATCCCATAAATTTTTGATATAGATAAAATAAAAAAACATCTAAAAATGGTTAATAAAAGAATTACATACATAGCATTGATGTTTTACCAGACTTTACCTAGTGAAAGATCATTACTGTTTATGTAATTTGTTTATATCCTGTATTAGCAGTTTTTTTATTACTTTATTGTATACAAATTCTCATCAGCCTAACTATTAAAGAATTTGTTAACCAATATGGTTTACATCTTAGCCTGTAACAACTGCAAGGAAAACAAAACTTGAGAACTAAATCTACAAAACTAGATGGCTTCAGACCCTTTTTTGCTCTGAAAGAGTACAAGTTGAACAAATTATTAATATTTAGGTATGGCTTCAAGTGTTGAAAGAAGAATCTTTAATATGAAAAGTTTTCTTGTCAGTAGCACTGCACAGAATTTTGAAATTGGAACTAGTAGACATTCCATTGCGACTTCTGAAATAATGTAGGTAAATATACAAATAATACTCTACAGTGGGCTTTAGGGGTTTTATTTTTACATGTAGAAAGGTGGTAAATTATTAATCCTGTGAAATCTTGTCCAAAACCAAGATGATCAACATTATATCACAAGGATGTTGAAATGTAAAAAAATTTTGATTTTATTGTGAATTTTGGGTAAACTTGGGGTTTAAATAAAATTTTGATCGATTTTTTTTAAACCTATGATGACTAGTAAATGTGAAAATAAGAAACAGAAAATCACTCCATAGCATTTCTGAATATTTCTTATAACTGAAGTAGGTTAAAGATAAGAAAAAAAATAGAATTATCATAGTACTAATATTCAAATCCAAAGCAATTCATTTTCCACTATAAAGTCAATATTTGAATGTCATGTATATTAGATTAAAAATACAAACGTGTCATCAATACATCTATGGTGTAGTCAACGTATATATTATTTAGGACATTGTTTTAACTGTTTGTTTAGAGTTCAACTAATTGAATTAATAAAATAATTTTTTAGTTTGTGGTTAGCAAAAGTTTTTCGTATTTTATGTGAATATAATGTGTTACTAAGAATAGGGTTAAAGGTTAAGATGCATTAAATTTTTGCCTTCTATTGCTTAAAATGGTGTTAGCATTGCATTTGTATGACTTAATAATAAAATGTGGAATTTTGTTTGAAAAATTAAATCATTTTATTTGCTTTGAAGCTTCATCTCTATTATGTTTTCTTTTTTTCAAATAAGGAAGAAAAAAATTTGTGTGAAAAGTGTAACTTGATGTCAAATGTTTTGCTCAGAAATTATAAAAGCTAGCCTTGAAATGCATTTGAACTTCTTCTTGTAAAGATACAACACTTCTAGATATAGATAAAAGTTAATATTTTGATTTATGACAGGACAGTTTTGTAGTTCTTTATTTTTATGTATTTTTCTCATAAGTCTTTGTCTTTACAAAAAAATTAGTTGTTACAAAATATTTTCTACTTTTTCTCTGAAGGAAACTGTGTGTGGAATCACGGCTTCCTCCAGTTCCAGAACCTTCCAATTCAAGTGACCCCTATTACTTCACCTGTCCTGATGCTTCCTCTTCACCTTCTAAGTCAGAATTGTCAAATAGTACCACAAACAACACTTTTGTAACAACTCTTCCAATAGCACTCGCTCATCCTGTATCCTTTACAACTGTCACTAACACATCTTCTAAAGTATCCACAGCAATCTCTGCATACAAGTCATTGAAATCAAAGCCTGGTGTGAGTAAGGCTTTAAAAACCAAAGACAGTGATTTAACCCTTTCAAGAAATAGTTTACATTCCAGCTCAACAGGTAATGGTGTCAAGAAGAAACAACTTAGTGGATCATCTGCTCAAATCAGTGCTCCAAATAATAAAACTTTGGGAAATATGATGATGCCATTGGTGCCTGATTCTGTGGCAGTGAATGCAGGGAACTCACTATCTTTGTCATATCCATTTACACTAGGTGAAAACTTTGGTGTTTTGCCGAGGTTGCAAACTGTGTCTTATTCTACTAGTGGTAGAAACAGTTTTTTTACAAGCCATTCAACAAGTTTACAAAGTACAGTCACGTCATCAAGTAGTGCTAGAAAAGAAGAAGGTATTATGGTCACAGGAGCAGATGTAGTCAATGGTCAATTGCCAGTCACTAGTACACTCCTACATTCTGTTAAAATAAGTAGATTTGCCAATTCTGGTCCAAAATTGCTAGCAACTCCTGGTGGTAGTCTTGGAATAACTCTTGGAGGTGCGGGACTTATTGGACAACTTTCTCACATACAAAACCTACACAAGTCATCAATATCTGACCATTTAGGATTAATTAACAGTCAGTCTATTGGAAACCAAAAATCTCAAGCTTCAGGAAACTGTAGAACCACTAGTACTAACTCCTCCAGCAATAGTGCCAAATCCAAATCAAAGATCCGTAAAGTTTTAGGTAGGTCTGTACCAACTACTACTATTACTACTACTACAACATCCAATCACACGACATTATCACATCCACTGGGGCTGGGGCTGCTCATCAAAGGTACAACAGGAGGAGGATTCTTTGCTGCTTTAGGAGATATTAATAGTGCAAGTAGTAACCTCAATAGCCACCCAGTCTCTCTCACTTCTACTAGTTCAAGACCACTTACAAAACAAGTGAGTAATAAAAATGTTTTAAATTCACTTCTGGTTTACAATTGATCAGCTTAGATTTATCTGCTATAGGTATTTTTTAATATTTCTAGTTTGTTATTGGTAATTTGAAGCAAGTTTTAATACATTTTGCTTTCTGTATGTACTTAAGTTTAAGTGTTATTAATAAAACTTAAATTTGATAAGTAACTGTTGTGTTAGTGACTTCCCATAATTTGGGTTGTACAAAACACCTTAACTCCCAAAAAGCATGAAACAGTTTTGTATTCATTGTATATTTTTTCCCCTAGTTGAAAATACATATTTTTTAAATAGTATTTAACTATTTTTGGAACTACTTGTATGAAGACTCTTCTTGTATAATTTTGTATTTTACAGTTTTAAACCTTTTTACAAAATTGCATGTAATGACTTTCCTTTAACAATTGTGCTCAAAATATGATCTGATTGTTTTGTGTAAAGACTATTTCTTTGAACTGATAACATGTTTATTGCCTAATTTGTAACTGCTGTGTCTAAAATGTTTTTTTTTATTTCCATGTCAGTATGATTAATAATGAGTTTCATATGTAAATATATATATTACTTAGAAACTGGCAAGACTAAGTAGAAATCTCATGACAAAGTTCTGTACAACATAAATATTGTCAGTAATGTCACACCCAAATGTAAATATATGCATTTGCTTTCAAAATTTCATTGAATTAGACATTGACTTTTAAGTAATGTATAAAAGTTACAATTACGGTATGTCTTGTAGTAGCATTAGGTTTGTTTTACACGTAGCTTTACATTGGACCTGAAGTACTTGATGAATAGGATGAAATACGGTATTCTGTCAGTTAAAACAAAAAATATCAAAAGGTGAGAATTAGAGCTGGGTGATTTAATTGATTAATCAATATAATCAGTTATCTATGAGCAGCAATTACATTGATTAATCTCACAAAAATAATCTACTAATTGAAATTAATGTTTTCGATTATTCTAACAATTGATTATTCAAAGTTATGATTAAATCGATTTTCACAAACATAACCAACCACTCAGAATTAGTTTTTTCTGTTATTTACTGTATTATTTACATGTATTCAAAATATTGTCATTATGTTTGTTTGTTGTTAAGCACAAAGCTACATAATAGACCCCCCCTCCCCAGTGGCTCAGTGGTAAGTATGAAGGCCTTTTTATACTAAAAATTGGGTTTTGATACTTACTGTGGGCATAGCACAGATAGCTCACTGTATAGTTTTGTGCTTAACTACAAACAACATAATGAGTGTGAATTAGGGGGATGCTTTGTGATTTGAGGGTCTCAGGTTTGATCTCCATTTCTACTAAATTTCCTTGTTGTGTATTTTGTTATTACAAAGCTACTAAGGCTATCTACCACTCTCACTAATTTTGAACTGTTGACTAAAAGGAAAGCAACTAGCTGTTAGCACCCTCTGCCAACTCTCTGGCTACTTAAGTATTAAATGAAGTATAAGTTTACTTCTTTTTTTTTATATACAGTGTTATGTTTCTAACTTATAACTGCATAACTTTATTCTTTAATGTTTTGTAAGTAGGTTCATATCAGGGGAGGAGGAGGCCCAGATTATCCAAATCCCCCTCCATTTTTGTTCCAGAAATTGATGACCACATATTTTAATGTTGGATAAACAAGTGTGGATCTAGCAGAGGGTCCAGGGGGCAAGCCCCACAATTTTTTTTAGAATTAATAACTTTATTATTGAATGTTGTATAAGCAGGTTTGAATTTAGGAGAGGGGTTTAAGGGGATCAAAACCACCACCCCTTCTACCTGTTCTTTTCAGAAATCAATAGCTGTATTGCTTAATGTTGTATAAGTAGGCACAGATTTGAGGTGGTCCAAACCCCTCTTTTTGTTTTTTTTTTTCAAAAATTAATGAATAAAACAGCCAATAGTATCAAAGAGAAATATTAGATGTCAGTGTTTTATTTGATTGATCTATTAGTTACCATAGAAGCATTTTTTGGTTTCTCTGAAGTCAACCCAACTGGAGTGTGTAGCGATTTGGTTACGGCCTCAACCAATAACTGATTAATTCTAGACGAATACAACAATATGAGTGTTTTGTTTAGTTTTTGTACAGGTCTTGGTTGAAACCTTGATATGGTGCTCCATGAAGTGGTTTGATCACTTGCTAATAAAATAAAACTTTAAAAGTAGCTATAAAGAAAGTTTAAATGATTGGATAGAGCCAGACTTACACTATCACATATTAATAGAGTAAATATATGGGTTTAAGAGGTGTTTTCTTATAGTTTCTGTAAATGCTCTGTTTGTTATGAAGTATGAAAATATTTATATGTTAAGTTATATCTGTTTGAAAGCTACAAAAATTATATTTAATAGGAAGACATCAGATAACTTGAGATAAGGTAGGTAAGCTTATATAGTTTAGAGGTGGGTTGAATGGGTAACAAAGAAAACTATTAAAAGTTTAACACAGTACCAAATATACAATGTTTAGAGAATATAGTTTACCTATACACAAGAATATTACATAAGGCGTAATAAAGGTACTTTGTTGATGTTTGGTTGTTTGTTTAAATATGATGTTTTTGTTTGTGAATAAATATAATTTGATTTTATTTTATTCCATTATTTGTAAATATGAGAGTTTTTTTTGTGTTCACCAGATAAAATTGTCATCAAGTCAGATAAATTTACTGTTTAATGAGTTTGGTAGCAATTGTAAAACATTGTGATAACTCAAATCTTTATTGAATATTGTGTTTATTCTACTCAAACAACAGATATAAAATATATCATCTGAGTACTTAATTATTTGTAATTGTAATCATGACATGTTTTAAATCAAAATGCTATTACACCTTATCGTGAGTAAAACGTGTTTTCATTATTTAATTATAAATTTATTTGAATTACAGAAGATCTGTATGGGATTACTGCATATTTGAAAAACAAAATGGCCATCTTGTGTTGGTATTTAGTCAACATTATCAATTTATCTACCAAGTAGGAAGTATCCGTAAAACTTGTTGGAAAGTATATATTTTTTTAACAAAAAAATGTTTTTTTGCAAATGCTGAAATGGCAACCTTCAAAAGAAGTTTGTCATACGAAATCAAGAGTAACTCGGAAATTACTTTAAATCAATATGAAATAAAAATAGCAAAATTGGTACCGTGTTAGAAGAATGTAGTGAATGTAAAAAGTTAAGATGGTACCACATACACCTTTTATTTTTCTTCTTTTTGCTTGTAGGAGACTTGGTATTCTGATAGATTAATAAAATGTAATCAATTAATGAACCCATTGATTAGCAAATATATACCATAACTTGCCCAGCTTTGGCGAGGATTGAGGATACTTTGTGTGATTTATGAATAGGTACTATATCACAGATCTAAAAGATTACTGAAAGTGTATCTTAAAATGATTACCCTTTATTAAAGTTATATCATAAAGGTCATCAACCAGTAGTGACTGAAAAATTTGTAGTTTCCAATTATAGTCAAGCAGAGTATCACTTGAACTACACTATATGACTGTGTAGGTGAGAAGAAAACTATTTCAACTTTCATTATTCTTATAAAACATGAGAAAGCTAAAACAACTCCTTTGGTTTGTTTTTAAGAATCAAAATGCTTCTTATTTATTAAAAGAAACTTGGTAAAAAAAAGATTTGCTTGGTAGTGGAATGCATTTAGTGCTTTGCTGCTGTATATTTTAGATTGAAAGAAACATTGTTTGTAAGATGTTATGAAAAATTCAGTTATATTAAAGGTTACAGGCACAGAAGTTCCATAAACTATATTTACTTACTGAGTAATTCAGAGTTATTCAGTTGTTAGAGATCCTTGAATGAAAAATGAATATGCAAATGAGTTCTTTTACAGGATAAGCTTTAGTTTTTACTTGCATGTTGTACGCATGTAAATAAAACGCAGGTAGGATATCTAAATCGTATATTGCTTATTAAACAAGATTATTTCTTTCTAGAAATATATGAAGACATAAAAGATCCTATCAAATGTATTTTGTTTTTCATTCTAAATTAAATACATGTTTTAATTTCTTAGCCTGTTCATTCTAGTTTTATTAGTAGTGTTAGGCTATGTACTATAAGTCAATCAAATCATGGCACATTAACAGGCATTAAGCATTTTTCTTTAGCATGGGATAAATTGGTAATACTAACAGTACATATTTAACTATTTAGATAGTCATTTTTAAAAGTGTTAGGCACTTGTAATTGTTTAGTTTTTTGGATTTGATATGAAATGATGCCTTTAGCAAAATGTAGATGAAACTTAAAGCAAGTTTGTTTTATATTTAAACTCGTAGTCCTAAAAGTATTAATAAACCACTTTTATTGCCTTTGCTTACCACCAAAATATGCCGGTAACAGAAAATATGAAACTAAGGAGTCTTGTTTATTCCATTTATGCTTAATTGTGGGGTTTCAGAATTGTCTGTGTGGTGATAATGAAGGATGAACCAGATATGCATGTAAGAGTTTTTCTGAATTGATCTTGGGCAGAGTTTTGCAGTAACTGTGAATTAATGAGTGAAAATATATATATCCATGTGATGTGGCATCTTAAATTTATGAGCATTGTCATTTAAAAAATAAAAAAAGGGAGAGTAATCTCTTGAGAGAAATGTTATATGGAAAAGATTTTATTCACCACGTGCAAAATCTCATTTTCGCTCTGAAAAACAGTCTTTTTGTGTTTTCAAGCTGACAAAATCTGTTGCTAATATTTGGAATTTTTTTTGTATATGTTATTAGTGAGAGTGAGCTGGTAACTGGACACTGGGAAGTTGTGTATTAAGCTGTGCTCCTAAATTGAGGTATTTTATAAAAATATAACTGGCAAATGTGTGTTGTATTTCTAAGTGACTTGAGATGTGGCATATTGCTTTATAGCAGTTTGAATGGTTTGTGAAATGAAAAAATCCTTGTGCATCCATTTGTTCTGTAATTCCTTCAGGAAAAAAAGTACTTTTTTGTAGCATAACTTAGATTATTTCCCAAAAATTTGAATGGATGGAATGTCTTCTTTATTTACTGTGAGAACATTATTGCAGATTGTCAGTAGGCTACAAATTACCAATTTTTAATTATTAATTATAATAATTAATTATTAAGTTTTCTTTGAATATCTTTAAGTATTATATACAAACTTATTTCACAGGAGTCCAGCTGCAAAGTTCCTGACCAGACAGCTTCCCTTCCCAATGGACTTGGACCTTGTCCTTTAGACATCCTCCAGACAGAAACTACAACAGTTAATGTGTCAAGTTTATTCAACCATGCCACATCCACTAATGCACCTGGTTTAGCACAAGATCCAGCATCAGCTGTAGAAGGTAATACAGTTACAAGTCATTTACACACACTCTGAAGCCATACAATGTTCCCATTAGAAATCTCACCATCAAAACTTCATATTACTATTTTACTGGTAACATAAAATGCTTTGCTGTATCTTAAAAAGTGTTCATTTTATTTTTATCATCAGAAAATCTCTTAATAAGTAAATTTACGACATGGACTTGTGATATAAGGTCATCTCATTTTGTATGTATGGGGATGATATTTTTTACTTCTTCCAGTGTTAAATGTGGATATATTTGGGTGGGAATTAATCAGCCTCAGATAAGGCTTGTTAATTGTATAAAAAAGCATTTAATATTCTAGGAAATATAGTTATTTTTAACCTACATACCCTCCCCCCTCCCCTTTTTTTTTTTTTTTTTTT